AATCAGAAAAAAGTTAGGTACTATAAAACCATTGCATCATTTCCTCTTTCAAGCTGCGACAAAACAGAACAAAGGCAGAAAAAATAATGGGAAGCAACGAATTCCAGATACGATGAATACAGCAATGTCCAACGTCTGAGAAGAACTGTCAACCGGATAGCGTTGAAGGACTGAAAATAAGTCAATGCCCACCATCCATGAAGAAGTGCCACGCCAGATAGTGGTGAAGGACTGGAAACTGAAACGAGAGAAAAAACAGAATCGAACAGGTTGATTATCCAATGAAAAGTATTTTGAATAAACTTGTAGATAACCAATGTAGCAAACGAAATATGTAGATATCCCAACCTTACTTATGAAAAACAGACATAAGGACAGGTGACAGGTAGCAGAAACAACAAGCAGAGTTGTATACGTACCTGATAAATCCAAACTATAAAATTAAACAAGGGAGGGATAAGAATGGGTGGGAAATACTCGCCTCCTGTCATTAATAAAATTAAGATTATAGGTACACTAAAGCTAGCATAATCTACAATTTTATAACATGACAGGAGGCTTCGTATTTGCTGTTTTAACGCTCAGCCAACAAATCCAACGCTGCTTGTTTCGCTGGTACCCATTCCGAGAATATTAGAGCAATCCTAAATGGACCTTCCAACTGCGAGAAGTGACCTCCATTGATAGATCCATTGTACGTGGGGTTACAACCTGTTCCCTAGCAGTCGGTCCATGGGCTGTCAAGTTGACCTATTAGCCATAGTCCTGTAGGTGTAAAGTGCCGAGGGGTCGCGAGAAGAGACTTCCACCGTGTCTCGACTCTTGATGTGGGAGGTGATTCCTCCGATCGTGTCAGGTTCACCAGGCGATGTGCCTTGCAGACAAACTCCAACCTCAGGCCTGCGCCTAAGTCCACCGTCAATACTCGAATAGAGCCGAATAGTGTCTATTCGTTCCTTTATGACCTACCTGGTGAATGGTCTCCTCTGAAATCAAGTTATATACAGATAATAGTGAGGACCATACTAGCCGTATCCTAAGAGACTCCAGTCTACCAACTGGACTGCGTAATCCACGGCTGCGGTCTAGAAAAGACCTCCAAAGGGTGTCCAATCAAGGTCTCAAACTGAACTCGTGTGGTAACGGTGGTCAACTATTCTGAGAATTGTGGATCCTGGAAAGCTCAAAGGGATGGGACTGGAAACTGGAGTTGAGATTTCTATCCCAATACATCATCCTCTAAGAGTGCTAAGATGGCCGGATCCAATAGAGTTTAGGACCCGTATAACACAGAAAAGCCCTTGCGTGTTGCAGTGAGAGTGTGAGATACTCTGATTACCATTTGTACAATCCTGTTCCATGCCCGACCTGTCAATATTCGTGTAGGGGTTCCTACAAGATAGGGAATAATCTAGTGAGACCCCTAGGTTCCTGTCTCATAGACTGTCCAAGCATGTAACTCCCAGTGTATGTTTCCTTGATGGTAGTTGAATAGGAAGGCTAGTGAGAACCCAAACCAAGATGGTTCCCATGATGGATATAGACTCCGAACACTGTTCTCAAGGTGTGTTCAGAGTTGTAGGAGCAGTCCTGACAACTTTATCTCAAGATTGTAAGGACCAGGGAGCTAAGTCCTGAGAATTTCGGTTTCTCCATGCGATCCATGCATACGGTGCCCCTGAAGACAGTTCATGTGAATTTTCCAGTCTTGTTACTCGAGCAAGGCAGTGCCCGTTTGCCCTATGCAGGTCTCAGGGTCTCATGTCACCCTGACACGGGAGAATAGACTGCACAGTTTGTACACAACAAATATCTGAAACAGAGTGCAATGTCAGTTTGATATAGCACAGGTTATACCAAAACCTGTACTCTTGTAAGAACTGAGGCTCCTCCTTAGTCGTACTGTCTCCTGGAATGTGTGTACATAAGTGGGAAACCTCCCCCACTAATACCTCTGAGGGCATTTCTCATGTGGATACAAGATGGATCCAGTCAAACTATGTATACCTTGCCCGATGAGGTAGCCCTCTAGAACAAAATCAGTAGCGTGGTCATCATATTTAAATTGGGTGTAGGAGGGACGCCCCTCTATGCGGTCATAGTTGACCTGTACAGGTACAAGCCTGTGTGAGGAACAAATGGACGGCACCATAGTGCGTTGAGTGTATGAGAGAGTCGCACTCTGTAAAATGTTATCGCACTCTGAGTCCGCGCACGGTTGGTGGTATGAGTGGACCGCACCCGTTAGAAGTCAAACTTAGAGTCTACCTCTGTGTCCGGTTCCATCTATGAGAATGAGTCACTCTGAGCATGTCCTCTATATCCAGCTCAGTATCGGGCCGAGGTTGAGGGAGGGCCGCGCCCTCTAATAATGAATCAGTGTCCGATTCGGTAAATGAGAGGGGTTCGCCCTCTACTCTTTAAAATAAAAATATCCGTCTCGGGCCGAGGTGAAGGAGGGCCGCACCCTCTGTAATCCAAACCAGAGTCCAGTAGAGACTCAGGGTGACCAAACGTGGGGTTACACCCTTATTTAATATAAGCAAAGTATACAACCTCGGGCCGTGTCCTACCTTAAGAGAAAGGGATGATGAGAAAAATAAGTTTCGGAGCTGAAGATGGTAACTATCAACGGACCGCCCGGATCCCGTGCGTGCGCGCGGGCTCCAGGATGACCGTCGGTAGTCTGAGGAAAGCTGGAGACGTTCTCCGCAATCCACAAGTGCCCGGGAGGTCGGAGGAGGTCATATCAGGCCTCCCGACGACCCGAGCGATAGGACAATAGAAGGCACGAAAAACAAAGAAACAACCAATGAAGTAGAAAATGGAAAATACGTACCTCAGAAAGCCAGTCAGATAGCAGACTGGAAAAAAATGAATCAAGCGAATCCAGTTGAAAAGGTCAAGAGCTAAACATGACATAGAAAAACACTACCAATACCTAATATGGCGTCTGAGCACTGTTCCCTGCTTGCGCGAATTCCCCTTGGAGATGTGTCGTCGTTGGGTATAACCCGTAATTGCGTGCCCGTGAATTCTCATAAAAACTTTGCCCTTCAGGGCATGAGGTGTAGGGCCTTCACCCTTCCAATCACAGTTAGATGTCCATATCCTGGTGTCCTCTTGGATAATCTGGCAGCAGTGCCTGTCCGGACACCTACCTAGAGGGTACTGAGCTTACTTCAGTGATATTCCCCCCGGTTTGTGGTCCAAAGGGGGGTTCGGGTACAGGAAGAGCAGGCCAATCTTATGGGCACAGCCGAAGCAGGCCAATCTTATGGGCACAGACGTAGCAGGCCAATCTTATGGGCACAGCCAAAGCAGGCCAATCTTATGGGCACAGCCAAAGCAGGCCAATCTTATGGGCACAGCCGTAGCAGGCCAATTTTATGGGCACAGCCAAAGCAGGCCAATCTTATGGGCACAGCCGTAGCAGGCCAATCTTATGGGCACAGCCGTAGCAGGCCAATCTTATGGGCACAGACGTAGCAGGCCAATCTTATGGGCACAGCCGTAGCAGGCCAATCTTATGGGCACAGACGTAGCAGGCCAATCTTATGGGCACAGACATAGCAGGCCAATCTTATGGGCACAGACATAGCAGGCCAATCTTATGTTTCATATTAAATGAGTAATGGGGACCTCTGAGATTGGCAGAGTCCCCTAAATATCTGTAAATCCTCCAGTCATCCTGTGACCTAGTACCCTTAGACACTAATCTTGGACAGCGTACTACTGTGTAAATAAACCGTAACCGGCGGTCCCTAAGTGCCCAGCAGGCAACATAGAGGTAAAACCAGTTGTATTGGGTTTGAGCTGGACATGTTCCAGTGAGTGTCCATAAAATCGAGCTCTGCTGAGCAATACCCTCTTTTAAGTGTAAATTGTAATGCACATGTACATACAGATCCGTATGAGATATCTTATCTTTATTGTAGGTCATCATCATCATCGTACCGGGCACATAAATCTCACAAGCAAGCATAATTAATAACAATCATAAATAAATAACACTAAATCCTAAAGCCACCCACTATAAGCAGGAGGCAGTGGTACTCTGACCTGTACTGACTGCGGAGCAGCAAAGAAAGAGGAAATGATGCAATGGGAAGGGGGTTTTATAGAACCTAACTGTTTTCTGATTGGTTGTTTTTCTGTGCTGCTGTGGAGTTCTAGTAAAGAGAGACTAAAGCAAATACGAAGCCTCCTGTCATGTTATAAAATTCAGATTGCCTTTCTTCTCTACACGATATATTGAGGTTTACATTTCCTGAATGACTAATCGAGAGCGTTTGTTTTTTGTTGCAAAAAGCTTCCTGCTTGTGTTGCCAGTGAAGGCAGCTCCACAGGACTACATGCCTCTCCTCCCTCCCACACACAATATATGTAGAATCTTTTTATGCAAAGACATATTTCTCTAATGTGTATATCTCAATGTAAATCTCCCTTTTTCTTGGTGACTAGCGATGCTGCTGAAAGTCTGAACAACACATGACTTTGTATTAAAAATACACAATTACTTGGATTTTTTATGTCAGTTATTGACTTTGTAAGTGGTGTCATATTCTGGATAAAAGATAGTCAAAGAGAAGAACTGTCTCCTTTCTTGGCTCTGCCACCACTTAGGGCACCCCTTCTTGTTTAGAGCAGGAATGGCCATGACTCCAGGGGCCCTGTGAGGGGTCGACGTTTAGACTCGTATTACCACCCAAACTGCGCATTACTTTTTAGGAACTATTCCAGTTCTCATCTTTGAGTGCTGACCGAGGTACAACACATTTCTAGAGACCACCAATATTATATTACAAATTTTCCCTTCTAAACTAAGACAGTTTGAAATCCAACCTTGAAATTTGGAGCGTCAAATAGCATAGTTTTTTCCAGTGTATTTATATTGCACAAAAAACAACTTCACAAATTATCAGCTTATACAAAGTTTATTTTCTCAAAGTAGCATTCTCAGAGTAAGAAATGTTGCGAGATAATTCTCGGTTGTACATGTTATATTCATATTTCTTGTCCACTGTTCAGTTCATAGTATTTGGTTCATGGTTTCTTAATGACTATGTGATTTTGATTGTGAGATCCTTTTGGAATCCCATGTAAGAATGCCACGAACATCTCTGTATCTAAGAGTTAGACGCGATGTTGCTTTCTCAGATTCCATCTTCTCATTAAAGAGTAAAGTAGATCAACCCGCAGTAAAATCTCCTGAATTTTAGTTGTAGCGATAGCACGAGCACACGCTGTATCACCCTGCAGAGAAGAATAGAGAAATTATTATACAAATGGTAAAACTAGAGAAGGTAGAATTTGGGGAAGGCAAATGGGGAGACAATGCTATGTCTGACACTATCCTCAGCTATATGATTGTTTTGACTCGTTACATCACTTGCTGAGAATAAATGCACGTGGGAAATGTAACCTGAACTAGAAGATGCTGGAATTAGGGGTGGAGACGGATTTGGCCAGAAAGTATCTGCAAACATTATTAATACCTGCTTTTGGACAATCTCATTGAGGTTACTGAAATATCTTGTTATTTCTTCGAGGATAGGAGGATTTTCATCAGTCGTTGTAAACTGAAAACATGAAAGAATTTGTTATTGATACCTTCATTATCAAGCAAAGACAGATTCTGTTACTTAATGAATGACTTACTAGCATAGTTTATAAAATACCAGCATATTCAGCAGTGCTGTACAACTTACACACATGGCCAATGCATTTATATGGTAACGAAGAATTTGTTGGAACTCATCCCAGGCTGCAAGCTTATAACCGATTGTCTTCTGTTGTAACCACGGGGACTTTCTTATTTCAATCAGAACCTTTCTCACAATGGCTGCAGCTAACCCCTGGAATAACAAAGACAGACTTTAACAAGTGCATTAAGGTGAATACATTCAGTATTAATCAAATTAAAGCATTCATTGTCTGCCTTCAATGGTTGTGTAGAGACAGGTCAATACAGCAGGGTCACAATATGGTTCTTCATGATTAATAATGGACTACCTGAGATTCCTTAGATGTTACTAAGAAGTTGAAGATATTGGGAAGGTTTGGTAGCTCGAGGTCAAATGGACAAACTTCAAAAACATCTTCATCAGATCTCTAGAAATAAAAACAGATTAGTTAGTGAACGTGAAAAAAAAAATCAAAATTTCTAAATTCAAGAAGTGAAAAGAGAGTGTTATCCCGAACACACACCATGGGAATGAAGATCTGGAGCAGATTTCCTATCTTAGTCTCCTGTGTCGGACTGAGCTGTTTGCAGTTTGGCAAAAATATACCCGAAGAAAAGTTCAGCAAAATTAGAAACAAAAATTTCATTTTTAGACACATTTTCGAAGAATCTTATTATTCGGCAGGAGGTCTGTTCTAAGTTGGGGTCCATCGTCGCAAGTATTTATAACCAGGGTTTAACTTTGCATTTGTTCTGTGTGGAATATCTACACAATTACTTTATATACTTTTATTCTGTGAAGAGTATATTCAACTTTGTTCAAGATATTGTTTTTGCTTGCAGAATATATTGTTGTCTGTACTGTTATGTGACTGCTATGCTTGCTTGCTTTCAGGTAGTACGAGGCGAGGCTTAGTGGGAAGTCCCTGCCAGTATCAATTCTCACACTAGACTGAAAGCTCAGACATTAAACAATTCACCAGCAGAGACGTGAGAGAGAACACAGTGAACACAGATTGTGACCAGAGGAAGATCCGATGTAAAGGACACCAGGAAAAGACTACAAACAGGACATTTTTATCATATGATGGGGCTCTGATCACAGCTTTTAGTGGGTATCCTATTATACAGCCCTGGCTAAGTGCGAGGATTATTATACAGCCATGGATGAGTGAAGCTGTAGTTACAGAGCTGCTGTGCAGATCGTCTCTGAATGTTTTCGACAGTGAGACAGTGCTGTACAGTCCTCATTGCTGGAGACATTGACCACACAGGAGCCGTTGCTTATAATGAACTGCAGGGCGAGTTGGAACCCACTTCCAAAGGTTTTCAGCTGATGGTTGTTTTGAGGGAGATGCAGCGATCACTGTGTTAATGTGCCAAACGCAGGCAGTCTGGTTACATATTATGCAAGAAACACAACTCTAAATTCAAGTTATATTTTAATGTGGTGAAACTGAAGATCGATCTAGATTGCTCATTCCCATAGAAATAGGATCCTCAACTCCTCTTATTTGTTTGTCAAATTTTATTTTGTCTGTTTGATGTATTGTTCCTTTGTCTTTTTACTTGTACCAATTGTAACCATGAGCAGCATGGCAGAATGTGTTGGTGCATTACAATAAAAGTATGATAATAGCTCATCTTGGACAAAAGTAATGTCTGAAGCTAAATCTTTCTGGAACATTTGCCTTTGGACTCAGACTGTGAGTGTGTCTCTCCCAGGGAATTATGTGCCTGTCGGCTAGAGCTATGTGTGATCATGAAGCTGCTTAGTGTAGAGTAACATTGCTCTGAGTCTCTAGAGTGAGTTGTGTTTTGCAGCCCTGGATAAGTGAAGCTGCCCTTCACCTTGTCTATTTGGCACTCAGCCTCCATCCAGCAGCCCTTTACCAACTGTCAATTTGAAGCAGAGACAAAGAAAAGACACAACACATTACAGAACACCATACATTGTATTAAACATTTTCCCTTCTATTCTAAGACAGCGCGTCACCACGCAATACATGAGCCCCGCATGCGTCACAACGCAACAAATGAGCCCTGTGCGCGTCACCAGGCAACACATGAGCACCACACGTGTCACCAGACAAAAAATGAGCCCCACACGCAACACCAGGCAAAACATGAGACCCGTGCGCGTCAGCAGGCAACACATGAGCCGTGCGCATCACCAGGCAACACATTAGCACCGCGCACGTCACCCAGCAACAAAGGAGCCCCGCACGCGTCACCGGGCAACACATGAGCCGCACGCGTCACCAGGTAAGACATTAGACCAGGGCCCGTCACCAGGCAACACATGAGCCCCGCGCACGTCACCAGGCAACATATGAACCCAGTGCTCGTCACCAGAAAACACATGAGCCCCATGCACGTCACCAGGCAACACATGAGCCCCGCGCCTGTCACCAGGCAACACATAAGCCCTGCGCCCGTCACCAGGCAAGACATTAGCCCAGGGCCCGTCACCAGGCAACACATGAGCCCCGCACGTGTCACCAGGCAAGACATTAGCCCAGGGCCCGTCACCAGGCAACACATGAGCCCTGCACGTGTCACCAGGCAACAAATGAGCCCCGCGCACATCACCAGGCAACACATGAGCCCCGCGCACATCACCAGGCAACACATGAGCCCAGAGCGCGTCACCAGGCAACACATGAGCCTGGCACGCATCACCAGGCAAAACATGAGCGGCGCACATCAGCAGGCAACAAATGAGCCTCGCGCGCGACACTAGGCAACACATGAGCCCCGCGCGTCACCAGGCAATACATGAGCCGCGCGCGCATCACCAAACAACACATGAGCCCCGTGAGTGACACCAGGCAACACATGAGCCCAGTGCACGTCACCAGGAAACACATGAGCCCCTCGCGCATCATCAGGCGACACATGAGCCCCGCGCGTCACCAGGCAAAACATGAGCCCAGCGCGCATCACAATGCGACATGAGCCCCGCGCGTCACCAGGCAACACATGAGCCCAGCGCACCTCACCAGGCAACACATGAGCCCCGCGCGCGTCACCAGGCAACACATGAGCTGCGCCTGTCACCAGGCAACACATTAGCCCAGCGGCCGTCACCAGGCAAAACATGAAACGCACACGTCCCCAGGCAACAAATGAGCCCCGTGCGCATCACCTCGCAACACATGAGCCCCGCGCATCACCAGGCAACACATTAGCCCTGCGCACGTCACCATGCAACAAATGAGCCCTGTGCGCATCACCTCGCAACACATGAGCCTCGCGCGTCACCAGGCAAAAAATGAGCCCCACACGCATCACCAGGCAAAACATGAGCCCTGTGCGCGTCAACAGGCAACACATGAGCCGTGCGCGTCACCAGGCAACACATTAGCCCCGCGCACGTCACCCAGCAACAAAGGAGCCCTGCACGCGTCACCGGGCAACACATGAGCCGCGCGCGTCACCAGGTAAGACATTAGCCCAGGGCCCGTCACCAGGCAACACATGAGCCCCGCGCACGTCACCAGGCAACACATGAACCCAGTGCTCATCACCAGAAAACACATGAGCCCCATGGACGTCACCAGGCAACACATGAGCCCTGCGCCTGTCACCAGGCAACACATGAGCCGCTCACGTCACAAGGCAAGACATTAGGCCAGGGCCCATCACCAGGCAACACATGAACCCCACACGTGTCACCAGGCAACAAATGAGCCCCGCGCACATCACCAGGCAACACATGAGACCCGCACATCACCAGGCAACACTTGAGCCCAGAGCGCGTCACCAGGCAACACATGAGCCCAGCGCGCCTCACCAGGCAACACATGAGCCCCGCGCACGTCACCAGGCAACACATGAGCCGTGCACGTCACCAGGCAACACATTAGCCCAGCGGCCTTCACCAGGCAAAATATGAGACGCACGCGTCACCAGGCAACAAATGAGCCCAGTGCGCATCACCTCGCAACACATGAGCCCCGCGCGTCACCAGGCAACACATTAGCCCTGAGCACGTCACCATTTAACAAATGAGCCCTGTGCGCATCACCTCGCAACACATGAGCCCCGCGCACATCACCAGCAACACATTAAGCCCCGCGCGCGTCACCACGCAACACATGAGCCCCGCGCCCATCAGCACGCAACACATGAGCCCCGTGCACGTCACCTGGCAATACATGAGCCCCGTGCACGTCACCAGGCAAAACATTAAGCCCTGCGCACGTCACCATGCAACAAATGAGCCCCGTGCGCATCACCTCGCAACTCATGAGCCCGCGCGCGTCACCAGGCAACACATTAAGCCCAGCGCGTCACCACACAACACATGAGCCCCACTCCCATCACCACACAACACATGAGCCCCGTGCACGTCACCTGGCAATACATGAGCCCAGCGCGCGTCACCAGGCAACACATTAAGCCCCGTGTGCGTCACCATGCAACACATGAGTCCCGCGCCCGTCACCACGCAACACATGAGCCCTGAGCGCATCACCATGCAACACATTAAGCCCCGCGCACGTCACCATGCAACACATTAAGCCCCACGCACGTCACCATGCAACAAAAGAGCCCCATGCGCATCACCTCGCAAAACATGAGTCCCGCGCGCGTCACCAGGCAACACATTAAGCCCCGCTCGCGTCACCACGCAACACATGAGCCCCGCGCCCGTCACCTCGCAACACATGAGCCCCGCGTGTCACCAGGCAACTCATGAGCCCCGTGCACGTCACCAGTCAACACCTGAGCCCCGCGCGCATCACCACGCAGCACATGAGCCCCGCACGCGTCACCAGGCAACAAATGAGCCCCGCGTGCGTCACCAGGCAAAACATGAGCCGCGATCGTCACCAGGCAAAACATAAGCCGCTTGCGTCACAAGGCAACAAATGAGCCCCGCTGCACGTCACCAGCACGCGGGGGCTCATTTGTTGCCTGGTGACGCGCGTGGGGCTCACGTGTCATCTGGTGATGCGCGAGAGGCTCATGTGTTGCCTGGTGACATGCAAGGGGCTCATGTGTTGCCTGGTGACTGGCGCGGGGCTCATGCGTTGCCTGGTGTCGCGCACGGGGCTCATGCAGTCTGGTTACATATTATGCATTTAAACATTTGTTGACATTTTTTGCACAGTAGAAAAAAATCCAAAGATATTTGATACTGAATGTGGAATGGTGGCGGTTAATGCTGTCTTTTATAAGGGAAAATGCTTAATGCAATGTATGGTTAACTACAAACAGGACATTTTTATCATATCATGGGGCTGTGAGCACAGCTCTTAGTGGGTATCCTGTTATACAGCCCTGGCTAAGTGCGAGGATTATTATACAGCCATGGATGAGTGAAGCTATAGTTACAGAGCTGCTGTGCAGATCGTCTCTGAATGTTTTCGACAGTGAGACAGTGCTGTACAGGCGACTTCTCTTCTCAGTGACAATACCTCCTGCTGCACTAAAGGTCCTTTCTGACAGGACACTTGAAGCGGGGCAGGCCAGAAGTTCTCTCGCAAATTGGGATAGCTCAGGCTACAGGTCAAGCCTGCACACCCAGTAGTCAAGGGGTTTATCGCTCCTAAGAGTGTCGATATCTGCAGTTAAGGCGAGGTAGTCTGCTACCTGTCGGTCGAGTCGTTCTCTGAGGGTGGACCCTGAAGGGCTGTGGCGATGCGTAGGACTTAAAAAGCTCCGCATGTCCTCCATCAACAACACGTCGGTAAAGCGTCCTGTCCTTGCCGGCGTGGTCGTGGGAGGAGGAGGATTACTTTGAGTTTGTGTGCTGCTTGTACTCATGTGTTGATCCCATGGGCGTTTGTGATGTGCGATCATGTGCCTTTGCAAGGCAGTTGTACCTAGGTGGGTGTTGGACTTCCCACGACTCACTTTCTTTTGGCACAGGTTGCAAATGGCATCGCTGTTGTCAGAGGCAGACACGCCACACTGCCAAAATGCCACGCTGCTAAGCTCTGCAATGACGGCATTCTGGTGGTGGCAACAGCATGCGTTGATTGGCGTGCTGTCTGGCTGACCCGGGTGCCGATGCATGCTGTCTGACTGTGCCACTAGCTCCTTGCGATGACCTCCCCCTGCTTCCAACTCGTCTCATCCTCCTCCTCTCTGTCTCCCCATCTGAACTTTCCCCATGTTCTTCTTCTCTTCTAGCGGGCACCCACGTGAGATCCACGGACGCATCGTCATCATCAACCGCTTCACTTGTATCTGACAACTCAGCAAAGGAAGCAGCAGCGGGTACAACCAGGGCCAGATTAAGAGCCCAGTGGGCCTGGTGCTGACAATTATGACGGGCCTAATTACAGAATCATATCGACCAAAAACAGTAAAACACTCCCAAGCATCATGTATCTGAT